GAAAATAAAGACGGAAACTCTTGTGGAAGTGGAACTTGTAGAAAGATGGCGCGAATACTGTGAGAAACTGTACCATGACATCACCACTTACCTAGAAGTTAGGAACGAAAGTTTTGAAAATCTCAGTCTTGAGCAGTCTATTCTACACTCAGAGGTAGTTGCAGTTATTAACCTGCTAAAGAGCAGGAAGGCTCCTGGCCCGGACCATATCACGGCTGAGGTTCTGAAAGCTTTAGGCGACAAGGGTGTACAAATTTTGCATAGGATCTGCAATTATGTCTGGATACACGGGTAATGGACAAATGACTGGGCCAAGTCGATCATAATATCACTGCATAATAAGGGGTACACCAGGATATGTGGCAACTACCGAACTCTGGTCTGTATATCACACGGAAGCAAAGTTCTCCACATCACATCTTAAACAACAGGATCCGCCACTATTTAGATTGGCAAATCCCACCTGAACAAGCTGGCTTCGTAAAGAGAAAGGGCACTAGAGTACAAATACCAAACGTCAGACCACTCATTGAGAAATCCTACGAATTTAACACCCCCTTGGTCCTGTGCTTTCTGTCCTGTCCTGTAAAAAGCGCGATGACCCAACTAGGCAAGATTTGGACAGATAGATCGATCTCAATAAAAAAGCAAAATTGGCCTGGTGAGAACTCTGGTGTTCTCGTTTTTCACCTACGGCGCGGAAACGTGGACCCTCAAGAAGGCAGACGGATCTCACATTGACGCATTTCAGATGTGGTGCTGGAGGAGAATGTAACAAGTTCCGTGGACAGCCCACCGCACGAATGCGTCAATTCCTAAAGAAGTGACAAGGCTATCGACAGTCTGTTTACTTAGGATCCTCGAATTCTTCGGTCACATAGCCAGGAAGAAAAACGATAGCTTGGAAGTGCTCCTGGTAACAGGAAAAATATAGGGAATGTACCCAAGGGGAAGAAGCCCCATGCGTTGGACAGGTCAGATCCGCAACAACTCCAAAACTGGAGTCCGCGATGCATTACATACTGCCGAAGACCGCAACAAGTAGAATACGATCGTCCACAAAATAATTCGTGGAGGTCACGACCCTCGGCAATTACGAGCACGACACAAGGAGGAGGATCACAGATCAACTGGCATTCGATATGGCGTAGAAAACCCGAAACTTTGACATTGGCGATATGAATATGGATATGTAAAAGTTGCTTAGTGTACTGAGTAGCACTAAGGCCCACTTGCAGCAACTTGTGTTTCATCTCGATTAAACTAAAACTAGATCGATCCAATAGAAAAACGTCAATGTCAATTTGACATCAAAATACTTACTTTATCTAATATCAGTAAAATTGTTGCAAGTCGACCTTAATAGCATAAACTGTTTCGGGTCAAACTTAGCTATCTTGACCTTTTAACAATTATTTGATTATTAGCACCTAGCTTTCTCTCCACTTTAATTTTTTTTTATTATTTAGCGCATTAAGATATTGCTATTAAATGAAGGTTACGGAAGATTTCAACGCAAGACTCATTAGTCCCATGCGCAAGGTAATGGAGTTAAATTATTCATTTAAGACCAGACAATAGCAGACTAGTCTCTAAATAATATATGTTTACGCCCCAGATCTTCTATGGCGCAAAAGTTGACATTTGAATCAGACACAATGATACAATAGGACCGCAAATATTTACTGATATTAAAACTTTGAGTCAACATTTGCAGTTAAATCTTTGATCTTAAATGGTAGTTATTTAATGTTTAGGGTTTCGTACCCAAAGGGGCCCTATTACTCGGGACCCAGACTCTACTGTCCGTCTGTTTGTTACTAGGCTGTACCTCATGAACCATGACAGCTAGAAAGTTGATGTATTTTTAAACAACAAATACTAAAAACAGTATAAATTAAATATTTATTCCACACAACAATCGTGAATTTAGCCATTTTTTGCTCGATATTTTAATAAATACTGTGCTGTTATATAGATAATAGTACGGAACCCTTCGGTATTATTATTATTATCAAACATTAAAATTAATATGGCTGAAAGTAAGTAATGTCAAGGTATTCATGATATAACAAATCAGAAATTATTTTGGTTGCGCTGGCGTGTTCATTTTAAAGAGGTCATCTCTTTATCTATCTATTTACGGATTCGTTAAATATTGCCTGGCTCGTATGTACCATATGTATGTACATACTAGCCAGTCATTTAAACCATTATACCAGCCAGCTTGTCTATCAGTTAAAATTAACGGTTAATGTTTGATCATAACTGATTTAAGTATCAGTTATTAATAAACAAAAACCTATTACAGTTTAAGAATAAGTATTTTAATTATGATATAACAAATCGAAAATAATTTTGGTGGCGTTAAAATGAATAATTTTAAAGAGATCATATCCTTTTATTTATCGAGCATCGAACGATAAAATGTTTATTTTTAGTTACTGGTGGATTTTAAATCGATATGAAGATCGAATCTTTAGTCGTGTGTCGAGGTTAACTACCGATTTAATGTAATTATCGATAAATTTGTCAATTTTATTTTTAACATAACTCTATCTAATTGCACATTTTTTATGCTTTAATACCTATTTGGCGTACAATAGTAATAGCTTTTATGAAATATGTTGTTAAAAAATCTCTATAATTGTTAAATTTATCGATAATTACATTAAATCGGTAGTTAACCTTGACATACGACTTAAGAATAGATCTTCGAATCGATTAAAATTCACTTAGCAGTAGCTAAAAATAAACATTTATTTAATCGTATCATAAATCATATCAAATAAACATTAATTAAATCGTAATCGTCAAAATCGTAGTTATTTATTCTCTCAATATCATACCTATATATATATATATATATATATACACTAGCAAACTAGTGAACCAAATGTTCACCAAAACCTGATTTAAAAAAAAATGTATTTAATTAATTGAGAACTTCGGAGATTTTGTGTGGTTTCGTTTGAAATTCGTGATTTCTCGAAAACGGAACTCAAATCCGGTTTGTAGTCTTAGCAGACTATTCTTAACTTATAACTTAAATATTCTCTTTATCTATCTCTTACGGTTTGGCCGCTGAAACAGCACCACAGACGGACGGACTTGTATAATAGATAGGAGTTACAAAAACTTGTGATAGGAATCTATAAGACAAAACCATCACTTATAATGAAAATATTCCTGCTTACGAGACAATAATTTTAATTATATTTCTGAAAGACAAATATAAGATTATTTATAGCCAAACCGATAAATGTTTGGCGATGCTATTGTAAATAGTTGCAAAAAGATATTAATTCGGAATAAAGTCACAAAAAATACCTAAAATCAGATATTTTTTTGTACCACACAGTACTGAACAATTAAATAAAAACTGCAATATGCCATTAGTATATACCTAAATTCTAAAATATAGTAACCTCATAAACATTAAAGTTGACGCTATAACTGCGATAGCATACTTTAAACAACACTTTCGTTGTACTGAATTGCTACTACAAAGAGCACATATAAGAACATAAGTACCTATGTTTACAACGCAGTAGATATAAACATAAAAAAAATAATTCCTTGCCCGTTTTTTTAAATTTGTATGATGTCAAAACATAATGTATTTTTTTTGTGTCTTGTCTTTGTTGACAAGGTTGACACACTATTAACTCGTAAATTAAATGTGTGTAAACATAAGTGTGAAACATGCCCAATATGAGTTAGCGTAATAATAAGACTTTTAGAATAAAAATAAGCAATTCTTTTTCCTGGAAAATAAACGAATCAAAATAACATCCGCCACAACACAATTTTTAACAAGAAAAACAAAACTGCTAAAGTGAGGCTTCCCGATCCCGCCAAAAAGTCGTAAAATAACTTTTTAATCAGTACCTGCAGTAAGTAAACTTTCTTTTTAATTTATTGAATTACTATGTAACAGGCTATGGTATTAGACTGAATGAAAAAACGCGTACGCATTCGTAGTTTGAAATTAATTTCCCACACTCTGTCGATCGTGTTTTGCTTTCGAGATTTCAGGAAAGTTTTGTAAAATACTTCATTGTTTCTTTTTTTGAAATGAAATGAAATTATTCTTTATTCAAATTGACTTATTGAAAGATATTTTGAATCGTGCAATATTTTTCCTACCACCCAATCAGGACATAAGCAGATGAGAAGAATGGATGCAAGAAACTCATCAGCATATATCAGAAGTAGCAACATTTACAAGAAAATATATATCGCTACCAAAACAACGTCCATTCACATTTTGATTGCTGTGTCATATAGCATCAATACAGTTTTCTTTTATGTATTATTCATTCAATATTATGTATAATAGATAAAATCTCAACAGTAACGCAGTATGGAGCAGACTCATCCACGCTGGCAGCACCCGTTCATGTGCATGACGCATGAACCAGTCATCGTTTAATTTTACCTGCTCCTAAGAGTAAAACTAAAGTTGTGTATAAACACACTCTCGTGTTTTACTACCCATTTTTATATGGCAGTCCCATAAACTACTATTATCTACACCCGTTGCTTTAAAACCTCTATAAAAAGATTCTGAAACAGTTAAATTATTGACCACATTCAATTATCCAATGTCCAAATAAACAATAATATCATCAAAACGGACCAAAGTTCATAATAACACTCCTTCTCGTTTTTGAGCTCTTCCGCGCAAAGGGTTTACTCATCAGACAGCCACAATTTTTACTAATCGACGCGTGGTACTTGTATGAATTTCTAAAAAAGAACATTGTCATTCACGCGATTTTCACAACCACTACCACAGTGCCGAAACTTTCCATGAATTTTATGTTCTCAGAATCCCATGGTTTCAGAACCTTTTATTGAGGATTCATATCATTGGTGAAGAAAAAGTCTTGTGTGCAACTGTTTTTAGTTAGGTGTTAAAACACGAGTGCGATACCATTGTCAACCACACATTAATACACCTAATAATTGCATAAATAACTATAAACATAACTTACCACGGTGCTTTAGCCAATACAGTTTGGGCTGTTCCGTTCCTATTGGGCTCCACCGTCGTCATTTTGAAGTCTGAAACAATGAAAAATATTAGAGTTTTTGGCGGGTTTTCATCGAGTGCGGTTGGCGTCTTATTTTAAATAAAATTGGTGTGATTTTGTGTTACAAGCGTCTACACAACTGAAGAATTAGTTGAATCTTTTAAATATACGCTATTCCGATCAAGTGGACGTGAGAACTTTATTTAGTGTTGACTACCTCACAGAAGCTTATCGAAAAAGTCAATTCGATACATTTCGTGGCTAACACTCCTAGTAACATAAAAATGCGTCACACCGACATTCTAATTTAAAAAAAAATAAGAATAATAAAACATAAGACTAGTCTGCATGGGCATTGTTCCCTTTGCCATCCCTGAAAAGGGAGAATCTTAAAAAAATAAAAATATTGGAATAATCACTCATGATAAAGAAATTAGAAATATGTCAAGGCACTATTACTACCTACCCACCAGATTTAAGATGGTTTAAAACTTTGTATAAAATAAGCTATACTTATAAATAGGCTAAGAGAATCAAAAATTTTCCGATAAATATATACCACTTATGTTGTGTAAAAACAGATAATAGTAGGTAATAACATAAATCGTAATTAAAAAGGTATTAAATCGCTTTTGTATTACCAATAGAAATCATAATAATGAAGAAGCATTAAAATTAACAACAATAAAATAACTATTATTTACAATTGACCATGAACATAATGATTTGACGACCTCCGTGGCCAAGTGGTTTTACGTCGGGTTTCAAGGTGTCGCCTGCTCGAGAGGTTCCGGATAATCGAATCGATTCGAATCCCAGTGGGGGCAGTGTCTTGTGATGAATACATGCATTTGTACTCCAGTCATGGATGTTTAATATGTATTTCTATACAAATATACATAAAATATGTATCAGTATATGTATTCTATCCGTTAACCTAGCGTCCCATAACACAAGCCTACAGTGCTTACTTTGGGGCTAGGCTGATTGGTGTGAGTGTTGATAATATTTATTTATTTTATTTAATATATTAGGGTGTGTCACATCGTCCGCGTGTAAAAATTGGTTTCCTATATAAACTGTTAGCCCCCCTTTTCACCCCCTTAAGACTGATTTTTATTTTTTTATATTATATTTTTATCTTTGAGTTCCGGAAAAGGACCCGGAACTCAAAATATATCTATACCAAATTCAATTTAAATGGATTTGTCATTTTAAGCGTAAGAGGTGACAGACACATTTTTGCAAGTACAATATCAGCCCCTATGAATACGTGGGACACTCAAAAACTTTTGAGAAACTAAAAAAGTAACTTCTATGAAAAAAATATTTTTATAAAATCTTTTCAAAGATCTTTCAATAGCCAATACCAGCCTCAATACAACGTGTCATGCGTCTGAATATTTTTTTCCAGTCTTCCGCAGACACCTCTTCCGCAGCCTTCTAAAACGTTGCTCTTCCGGCGATGAAATCTGTATCCCTTTAAGCTGATTTATTAATTTAGGGAATAAAAAAAACCACACGGAGCCAAATCAGGACTGTAAGAAGGGTGTCCCAAGACTGGTGTGGAGTCCAGGAAGTCCTTTATTTTGTTCGCAAAATGCGCGGGCGCGTTGTCGTGGTGAAGAAGGGCCCCGCGGAGCCCGGTGTTAGGTCGCTTGTTGTTCATTGTAGAAAAAACTTCTGGCAGGCATTTTGTGCTATACCATTCGGCGATGATGCTGCTTTGGTCTCGAAGTGGAATTGAAATTAGGTACCCCGTCAAAGTGAACTAGCGATAAAAACTTTTCCCTGCGTATCGATCGCTTCACTTTCGTAGGCGTTGGTTCATTTTGAAACAGCCAAACTGTCGTGTCGACTGACTTTGTTTCTGGATCGTATTGATAAATCCAGAATTCGTCACCTATCACAATATCATAAACGAGTCGTGCCGATCCTGCATAATTTTTTTGTATCATATCACTGCACCAATCCACACGGGCTTCGGTGAGGTTGTACGGCGCCCAGCGGGAAACTATCCTCCTTACGCAAAGGTGCTCGTGCAAAATCTTGAGAACACTTCCTGAACCAATCTGCAGAGTATGCTTCATACGTAATTCGTCTGTTTTCTTGAATTTTTGAAGTTATACTTCTTTAGGCGCGTTATGAAAAAATGATGAGAGTGAAATTTTAAGATGCGCGCGCATCACTGTAACACAAAATTTTAACAGCATGAAGTTGGTCGCTTTAGCTTTAGCGCTTTAGCGACCAACTTCATGCTGTTACTTTTGTGTTTACCGCACATTAAGAAAATAGAATCTCTATTTAGTGGGTGCTAACGACTGCATTGTGAAGGCCTATCAAAAGTATTTATTAATCTGGAACAACGGAACCAAAGCGCGATTCAGGAGACTACAGCGCCATCTCTTGACCATTGGTGTAGTAGAACCAAAAACCACATCTTTATTTTTTGTAATAAAGTAACAGTTATAGGTATTCATATTTATAATATTTATCCACATGTTTCTAGTTTGTATATTCGGAATACGTGTTTGAGTTTCATACAAGTGCAAATCACATATGTTCTAATAAATTATATTCAGTAGCGATTTAAATTGAATATTTTGATTATTTATTCAAATTAAAACTGAACTTTATTGACTGTGTCCTTTTCCAGACTTTTTATTAATTTATTGTAATTAATTATTTGCATGCAATTAAAAACTAATTTTAAACGATGCCAAAGAAGGATAACTTCTCACGCGCCTACATAAGTACACGCACCCATTTTTTTTTTACTGCCAGTACACTTTCTTCGGTGACAACCGTCGTAGGACGACCACTCCTTTGTTCATCCCCCAAAGTAAGACGACCACGTTTGAACTCGCTACTCCAGCGGTAGATGGTTGCTTTTGAAGGTCCTTCATCCATAAAAGTAGTTCGAAATCGATCAAATGACTCATCAGGTTTAATTCATAACATTTAAAATCGCAAAAAATCATAACACAAAAATGTTCTCGACGCAGATCCATTTTTTAATGAGACAAAAAAATGCGGAGGGAAATTTGAAAATCGAAAAGTGGTATTATTACTTTTAAAAGTTTTCAAAATAAGGTCTAAGTATAAGTGGTCGGTGTCTCATACATAAAAACTTTTTTTCGCAAAACTTTCTGAGTGGCCTGGTATGATTAAACTACGAACAATCCCGCAATTACATTTGGTAGTTACTCCATATTCGGGTGCATGAAAGACATTACTCCAATTCGGGCACCCGAAGCTATATTTACACTGGAATACGGGCTGTAAGACGGTGTCGGGCAAACAAAAGGAAATCTACGCGAATACGAGCGTACTCGACTCCGTTCATTTACTTTTAGTTGTTTACCCGAATTTATTGGCACTCGTATTCGGGCTAACGACCAAATCTAATCGCGCCATAACGTTCAAACAGAATATCGATGATGTCACCAATCGCTATTCTTATTAAAAATCTAGAGGCTTATTATGCGGATGGCATTGGAAAATTTTCACTAAACAATCCTATGGAATGGTGGGCAAAGTGACGTAATCACAGAAATTGCAGTATTAGGAGATATCTAGCAGAGGAACGCATACATTTAATGGTAGGGACAATTTTTAAATATGAGATCTTCAAAGATATTGCCAAGGGCACAGTAATTTCCTTCCCTAAAGTTTTTCTGCTGGTAAGTAGGTAAGGTAAGGTTCTAAGGCTCCATGGGGTAGGGTATTGGGTTCAGGCCGGCAAAGTGAAGATGGCTGAAAGGCACTCTTTCTGCCGCATCATCTATCTTTGCGACTGGACTCCACTTACACTTAACATCAGATGGGGATGGGTTAATTTGCTGTGCCTTTTAAAAATTTAAAAATAATAACAACCCGAAATGGCTTCAAAAAACATGCTAAAATAACCGCTGGTGTAAACATATTGGACAACACAAAGGACAAAACTTAAGTAGGTACCAACCCGAATTGAAATTAATATGTTGTTTTATAATCAACTAATTTGACGACCTCCGTGGCCGAGTGGTTTGTACGCCGGGTTTCATGGCGTCGCCGACTCGAGAGGTCCCGGGTTCGAACCCCGGTGGGGGCAGATGTTTGTGTGATGAACACGAGCTCTATATAGATATACTTATATAAGTAAAGTATATGTATTCTATCCGTTACCCTAGTATCCCATAACACAAGCCTTATAGTGCTTACTTTGGGGCTAGGCTAATTGATGTGAGCGTTGGAAATATTTATAAAAAAAAACACAATGCATCCGCATAATTCTGTTCAAGAATTAAATTGAAACAGGTATAAACAGGTTCTGAAGCTCATTTTGTTTAACTATATTTTGACTTGTTTTTAAGCGCCATTGTTTCAAAAATTGATATGCAAATTTATTTGTTACAGCATAAGCAGTGAGTACATGAACTTGGAAATTTTTAAATTAAATGTTTACGTTTACTTTACACTGTCAAAATTTTCATTTGTTTATGTGATCGTCGATGTGAACTTCTTTTTAAGTAATTTATTGTTAAAACCAAAAACATTACATTAAGATGAATACAGTGAGATAGTAGGATAAACTTAACTCTTGGCCAAGTTTTCCTCAAACTATTTGATACGTGTTTGTTTCTTAGGTTTTCATTCACATCACACATTAAAAAATACAAGTTTCAACGGTATAGATGCACTGATTTTACTATTAATAAGTAAATAAGTTTGACTTTCACAAGAGCTTGTAACAGCCTACAGCCTAGACTGAATAAATGAGTTTGAGTTTTTTTTGAGTTTTGAATAAAAACATTATTCAGTAAAAATAAAATAAATAAAATCAGTGCATCTATACCCTTGAAACTTGTTTCATTTATTTTGATACATGTTAAGATTATAATATGATCAGATTATTTTTATATTTTAGTTTTCCTTTTGTTTTAGTAAAACCAGTTTACGTAAGCGGTCGCATAAAATAATTATGTATGTTGTTTTTGTTTCAGTGTGTGAAATATTTTCCGTGTATGATACACGGAAAGTTTTGGAACATTTTCATAATATTTTTCCTTTCGCCGTAACCCGATTGAAAAATACACGTTTTTCAAAATTCTGTTTTGATCTTGCGTATCGGATGTTTTCTATTTCAACCGCTAAAACTTAATATTTCAAGTCTTTTATTATAATAAAAGACTATTATCAATTTTAATTATTTTATTTAAATAAGACGAGATTTTTTAAACTGCTAGATGTTTGCGCCCCAAAATGTGTTTGTTTTTTAATTTATCTTCCTTGATTTCACTTTTTTTATTAATATTATTTCTGTGATGCTGTGATTGCATATTTTCAATCGTATTTTACACATGTATTTTTTGTTCTGTTTTTATGTTTAGCATATTGCATGTATGTTTGTAAATTGTATTATTATTACCTATAACCTGTTTAAGGTTATAGGTAAAGTTCAAAATCTGCTTAGCCATCTAAAATAAATTCTGCGTAACCAAAAATTTTTGCTTATAATAAAAAAAAATATTAACTATCATGGATTTATAAACGATATTTTTTTATCTCTTACTCTGTATTTTTTTTTGTATTTACCATGAATAAATATTATGTAATACAGGGTCATTATGGTTATGAAGAACAATGTAAAGATTATTTTCCAGGGGTAAGGACCTGGTGATCCGTACAGGTTAACGCCTATTTCGGAAACCAGCTTCTTACAACACCTAAATATATTATTTAAGTGTTGTTTAACATGTATTTTATGTGCCCCAATTGTTGCAAGAAGAAATAAATAAATAAATTATTATTATTGTATTATTATAAAGCCCTTTTAAAAATCTCCACTGTTATGCGTAAATGCTCCACGCGTAAATGCTGTTTAAAATTACAGGAACAAATGTTTTAAAATTGCAGACAAAAAGTTTCAACGTCACCTTTTCAAGTTATAACTTGTATCGTTGTTACGTCTGTTGTGTTATTAGCGTGGTTTGTGTAATTTTATTTACACAAGGACAGCACAAGATGCAAAGTCAGGCGTAATAACGTTTAATTGATGCTCTTTAAAGCAGTCTACGACTACATGCTTGAAACAAGAACAATATACATACCTTAGTGATTATTTTATGCGACTTCTGTTGAGTGTAGTTTTTTTTACAAAAAGAAAAGAAAATGTTAAAAATACGTTCAGTTTTATTTTCCTGTTCATTTAATCACTTCACATAATAAATGTTACACCTACAATACCATCTAGTATGGTATCCTTAGCATGACTACCACGGGTTTATCACTGGCTCTCTTGCATTTACACTAAAATATAAAGAAATTAAAAAAATAGAATACTGAACACGATGTCTTTTTATTTTATTTTTAATGGCAATTCTTAAATTTTCAGTAGAAATACAAGTATAGAAATGGAAAAAATTGGAAAAACTAAATTTCATTGAGATTAAGATTTGTATTTATGTATACGTCTGAAAGATGCATAGCTTGTATCCATGGTCATGAATAAATAATAAAAAAAAATACGTGTGGCACTCGGGGACTGCCGCGGTAAAGTTATTGCATAGCATTTTTTATCAACTTATTAAATTAAGTATAATTATTATTTTATTTTATTTATGCAGTATTTTTTTTTCTTTGATATTATTTCGTTTTTTCTTTGATATTAAAAGATGGCGAGGCAGGCCTAGGGATGTTCCGATACTAGTAAATACGAGTAGATACTCGATACTTTTGATTCGATACCAAGTATTTATAGCATCGAATCAATCTTGCGATAAATACTCGGTATCGAAACAAAAGTACTTGGTATCAAATCGAATCAGCATCACCATTTAAAAAAGATAAAATTTCCGAACGCAGACTGTATGAGAGAGCAAAAGCCCTTTCGCTCGGTTACCGGTATTCATCGCACATAGGCACCACCAAAATCAATAAAATTTTACCAAAACAAACGAAACAATTGCAAAATGTAAACAATGAAGTCTGTGAATTCTGTGTGAACTTTGGATAAAGGCAAATTAGAGAAAAAGCAAATAAAGGGACCAATGAAAGCTGCTCTCCTTAAATATTAAATAATCCCTTTGAATTCCTAAAATGTTAAAAAAAAGTGACGCAAAACATTTATATTCTCGTTTTTTCTCACTTTTGTTTTAATTTTCGTTCTTCAACGTTTATTGTTTTTACTTTAGTTTCCTCAAAGTAAAAAATAAGTGCTAAAAGTATCGATATCAGTAAGTATCGATACTTTAGGAGTATTTATTTAAGTAGTATCGAAAAAAGATTTGAGTACTATCGAAATGAGTAGGTATCGATACCTTGATGGTATCGGAACATCCCTAGGCAGGCCTTATGATATTTTATTGGGCAAGCACAGCAAACAACAGCATCGCTCGGCGTCAAAAAACTTCCACAAGCTTCACAGTTTACCATCTTTAGTCCAAAATTTTAAATTATAATTATAAAGTCTAAATAAAAGGGAGACAAATAAAAATAAGAACAGGTGCTGGAGTCTAAAACAATTATATAAAAAAAAAGGAAAAGAATGTTAAAAAAGTTTTTGGATTTAAACCGATGACCGCAGTGATGCGTCGAACGTTGGTCCTGTGGCAAAAATTCAACATACTGCGCCGTTTAGATCGATACTGAGATGACGAAAATAGTGTTCTATTGGTATATGCACTCTCGTAAGGTTTTTTCGTTACGGAATTTCTTCAGTCGCCGCGCTCAATGCTTGCGATAAAAGCTATACAATAGCTTAAAAAACGTTTCATGTGCGCCATTTCGCACATGCTACGAAAAGGCAGCTTTATTGAAGTCATTATGGGATAGGTGTTTTTAAACACGTGTTTTTGTCACTTAATGTTTCATTTTATCGTCATAATAAGTAAAATATAACATCTGCAGTGATGAAAATTGTATTTTAGCAGAGCTTTAACTATAATTCAACTAAAGATCAAAGTTTTAGTGTGCCATTCTTTGCTATAAAATCTAGAATGCCAATGACTATACATTTGAAACTTTTCCTACCGATTTCGCAATATTTTCATACATATTAATATTGAGGAACATCCCTAGGACAAACACTTTACATTGATTTTATCGACCAAGGACTATTTGGTGAAATTTTGCTTATCTCAATTTAACCAAAATTAGATTTAGCCAATACGATAATGTCAAATTGAAGATTTGTCATTTTTCTATGGTTAAATCTAGTTTTAGTTGAATCGAGATTTAGCTGATTTGCTGCAAATGGGCAGAAATTCTTAAGATTTCCTACGGTTATCACATGAATTAAAATAGGCCATCTGGTATGCATTTCTGTTATTTTTTCAGCTACAAGAAAAATGTATTACGTAATAGGTGCTAAAAATATAACACACGTTACCTATAATGATTTCATCAACAAAAATATAATTAACCCCCGATATGTCCAGATGTAATAATATGGCGTTTTTGAAAATGTGGAATATATAATCATTTGACATTGTGGGTTACCTATAATGCGAAGAGTTGGCGCTGCCTGCAGCTTAAAAATGGCTAGAAGAATTCCGTCAAGGCCGCGGTAGCATAATTGGTCAGTGCATTCGCCCGGATAGCGAAGGGTGCGGGTTCGAGTCCCGTCTGCTGCCTGGTCCGCGTGGAATTTTTTTAGTTATATTTTCTTTAGATTTAAACATCAAGCAGTTACATGCTTAAAAACGAAAATTATAAATATGGAAGATAAATTAAATCTGTGACTTAGTTCAGTTAAAACTTGAAAATATTTATTTTAAAATCGTTAATTATAAAATTTAGTTAATTCCTTCCGAAAAAGCATGAAACGGTACCAAATGTATGCAAATTTACAAATAACTGTACTGTACTTTTAATTGCATGCTGTGGTTTAATTTACATGCACATGACACGTCTTTGTGTAAGGATTTGAAGAATCCTTAGAAATACAATTACTATTTCTTGTTATACTAACGTAATGAATGCCACATTCTTTATTGTACTAGGTACTTGGTTAGTCCATACTAATATTATAAATTCAAAAGTGTGTCTGTCTGTCACCTCGTCAGACTTAAACCGCGGAACCGATTTAGATGAAATTTGGTAAATAGATAGCTTGAGTCCCGAGAAAGGACATGGTACAGTTTTTATTATGTAATACACCATCAAGGGGGTCACTCCCCTTGTATGAAAGTTTGTTTGGGAAAACAACTTTTCCGCAAACGTAGTCGCGTGCGTCCACTAGTATAATATATTATTCATTCCTACAGTAGGGTATAAGCCAACAAGCCATCAATTCAATCAATACACTAATGCGAGGTATTTTTCCGCGTTCCATCATTAAATGCAATGTGAATAATCAATATAAGTTTTGAATTTATAAATAAGACCAATATTGTTTTTAAGTTAGACTAGAACTAAAAACCTATAAATTTATTCATAAAAATTAGGTAATGAAATGATAACGAACTACTTAACCATAACAATATAAGTTTGACATTTTATTGATAAATCCAAATAATGTTACTGTGACATTTTTAATTATAAACATGTACTTTTTTATTAGTGAAAGAAACTTTTGTGCAGAAATCACTTTGTTTATAGGTTCTAATTACTAATTTATTATTCATTGACATTGCGAACCAAATATATTAAGCATAGTTTGAGAGTGATCTAAATAATCATAGTTAATAACGCTCTTACATAATTTTGATTAATGTTACTGATTCGTGTTTCAAGTACTCTTACATACGAATGAACAATGATAAGCAGCATAATGAATATTATGTGCCGTGACAGGAAATCAAATGCGTGTTTATAATCAAACAATACTATTAAATTCATATCAATCATTGACTTAAAACATAAAACTCCTACCAGCAAAGTTTAAAACAAAAAATATTCGAAGGAGTCCAAGCTAAATGTTCAGAAAAAAAATTACTTACATAAAAATAAAATCCAATTTTAAATAAAGAACTAAACTTTTTTTTTTTAATCAAGAACAAGCGTGTGTTCTCGTGCGCTTAACGTACGCGTGCACACGATAGGCATCGGCCGCAAAACTAAACTACGTTGGCTGATGGCTGTTTGCGCGGTTACCGGTGATTATTTCTCTGAACATCTATGGTCAGTTACTCGTAGTTACTCTTAGATGCGTTCGAAAAATTAAATTGGCCAGTTCAAGGATCTTTCTTACAAATCTTCCGCGCGCCGTACGCCGGTTGTTATTTTATCATTGTACTTCTTCGGCCTAGTCTTGTGCTGTCTTTAACCACTGTTTTTTTTTCTCCTGATATTTGCACGACATCATCTTCTGTTTACGTTTCGTGACCAGTTTTGGGTTAACACTTCAGGCTGTTTTACCAGCGGCTATAATTTTTACGACCCTAAATTTTTCTCCATTACGTTAGCCCTTTGATCTGAAACAAATCTAATTTTAATGTTGTCTTAAAATGCACTGTATATTTCCGATATTCCAGACCAGGAAAATATTAAATATATTTAAATACTAAAGTTCAATCTTCTAGATTTACCTAGTATTTAAGGGAAAATTATACGAGTCAGTATGTAGCATATTAGTTATTTCAATCTTTTCAGGTATTCTACTGGAGTTTTTGCAAACCTGTCGTTAGAAGAAAAACAATTATAGGATGGTATCCGAGAGGTGACAAGAGGAGAAGTGAAAGACATATTGTAAGATGGGAAGATGACAGAAAACTGAAGAAGAAGATGAAGAGGCCTATGCTGAAGAGCAAGACGACATAAAATGTTGACAAAATAGTAAATATAAAAATATGAATGTCAATAAAGGCTTTTATTATTATTATTGGGTATTATAGGCTAAGACCTGGAATACCGCCAGTATGTATCTTGATGCTGCCTAAAGCTACAAGGTTTACCAGAGGCACATCATCACTAGTATTATCAAAATTAGTAGCATTGCCTGCCAACAATCCAACAAATCTGTCAGCCAAGAGATTAAGTTAATTCTGAGATCATGTTTAAAAAACACCACCCCACAATTTCAAACTTGTTTGTGAAACACGCTTGTTATCAAGATTATAATCAAATGCCTACGCCAAACATAAAACACAGTGATTTTTTAGTAGGTTAAAGTCACACCCACACTAATATTATAATTTCGTGGTGTCGCCTACTCGAGAGGTCCCAGGTTCGAATCCCGGTGGGGCAAATGTTTGTGTGATGAATACGAGCATTTTTACGCCAGTCCTGGATGTTTAATATCTATTTCTCTATAAATATACTTATATATGTATTCTATCCGTTACACATCCCATAACACAAGCTTGACAGTGCTTACTTTGGGGCTAGGCTAATTGCTGTGTGTTGGAAATATTTATAATTTTTTATATATAATAAATTCAAGTCACGTTATGAAGATTTGCTTTTCTATGAAAATATTACGCAGTGATTATTTATTAAATTTATCTAATGGTAGGTATCACGTTATAGCTGCATGCTAAAACATTATTTGAAGAATATTAAGATCGTTTCCAGAGCGTGTCATAGAACGAGTCTATTAATCACAACATTGGCCAGTTAGCCGAGCAAATTGGTCGGTGTGTCTACAATACTTACCGCAAACATCTGTTAAGATTGTAATGGAGAGACCTAGGTAGTTGATTTCCTGGTGACTGATTAATTGAAATCTGAGGAGGAGCTCGATGGTGCGGGTGGTTAGGGTGTTTCGCAGTGGTCGGTCATTGGATGGGTTACCAAAATTCTACTATGTCGAGCATGGAAGAACCGTGCTTCGGAAGACATGTTAAGCCGTCGGTCCCGGCTGCATCTGCAGTCGTAAGCACCCGGTAATCCGCACTAGGCCCGCGTGGTGAGTAATGGCCTAACATCCCTTTCCATCCATAGGGAAGGCCTGTGCCCCAGCCGTGAGGTCATTACTAGGCTGATAATGATGAATTGAAATCAGCAGTTCTAATTGCAAGTAAAACTGTTGCAGTTTGCAGAATATTTTTACCGCGTATTTGTTACTAAGTGTCGCCGCACACGGGCCACCGACCACAACCACAAAACGCCACCACCGGCATATTGCTTGTAGTTTTCATACATTTTATATGGACTCGCCACACACGGTACGCCGGTTGCCGCCACACGCTACAAATCGTCGTTGCTCGCTTCTTGTGGCCCGCACTGGCCACTTAATGCGCCGATACAAAACGCCGCCACACGTCACTCGCGCGCGCGATTCCCCACCCCTCTCTCCCTTGCTTTAGTCGGCCGCTGTCGTGCGCTTCACTACTTTGGTAGCCGCTTCTAGCTCCTCGTGGCGGCGTTTGTGGCTGTGGCGTGTGGCCCGTGTGCGGCGACACTTACTGTTTGCTTTTGAAAGCTCAAAAATCATGCGATAATAATAAATTTTCTCATACTGCAGACAGCATTTAAAATGGAATGAAATAATTTTGCAAATATCAAACAATCGATACAGAAATTATGTTCATTGTTGAAGTACTGAACATTCATTTCTACACCGAGAATTTTGACTAACCCGAGAAACTTAAAAATTGTGTTAACAAACACAGTGCGAACAGTTATAAGCAGTAAAAGTATTATTCCCCCATACAAAAACATTGATTTATATCGTATCAAAATATCATAAAACGGCACAAATTTGTAAATCACATTATTATCCGTTTAAACTACGCAGACAATGGTGTCGATTCTAGCATGATTCTCTAAACCTAAACTTAAATTTGACGGCAGTATATCCTTGTCATTCTCTGTACAGAATGAAAAGGAGAGACTGATGTTAAATTTAGTGTTAAGTTTAGAGAATCACGCCAGAATTGGCACCAATATCGTTGTACGCAGATCCTAAAATGAGTACTATTTGAATCAATTTATAACAATTAAAATAGTTAAGGTTTTATGATTGCAGAAATAGTGAGTTAACGTGGAGACACTTTTGGAAAAAAGTAATTTCAGAAAATATAATAAAAGTCTATGTCTGAATCAGCTGCTATAGTTTCTTTGATAACTCAAAATTCACGGTGTACACAAAATTTTATTAGAAATAACTAATCAACAGTGTTCAACATTCCAGGATAGTTTTCAGAAGCCTTGGATGCACATCTGGTTAGGAGAAGTGTTGAAATTGTATCTAAGTAGAAAAATAGCTTGTAAGTAGGTTAATTATACCTTAAAATCGATCAATTTTAAAACTATAAAAGAAAAGCATTAATAGTTTTAAAACTGCGAATACTACCACCAATTCAAATTCGAAATTACCACCTGTGCCTTAATTAAACTAACGTATGTATCGACGGACTCAACGCACCAGGGCAACATTTCCGTTGTCACAAATACATAAAGGCCGATATAATAATTAAATGTGTACAATTTTCCCAACTTTTTTTATACGTTAAAAACGTACTAATAATCCAAAAGCCTTCATAGTTTCTGCAACACCGGACCTTGAGGGTGAATGTGGCAGAGTATTCCGGTCTCATGACCAGTTGTTTAAAACCCGTACGTGTTGTAACAAAATAACGCAAAAAAATTAACTGGTCGAAACAGGTAAAGTGGCCCAATGTCATGGCGACTATAACCAGCCACTCATTTGTACACCGGCTTATTTTGTTTGATTACAAAAAGTTACGTACATAAATAACTTACCGCTATTAAGAGTCGGCAAAGAATAAAATGTTTAATTTTTATTATTTTTTCCGAATTACTTCAACCAACAGTGAAGAAGTTAAAATAAGCATCTGGATCATCATCAACTTTAAGAAATTCGCTTTTAGCGATAGGAATGCCCATTGAAGCACTCTTTTTTTTACATTTGTAATTTCCCTCATTTCTGTTCTTTGTTGTGGTGTTTTCAATAAAGTATTGTATCATCATCAGCCCATTGATGTCCCTACTAATGGAATACAGATCTTCTCTATGTATGCAACTGAGAGTTTGGGCAATGACCCACCACGTGGGCACAGCGTGGGCTTGGATTTTAACGAAGGCAGATGCAGTCGGAGCTTCCGGTTTAACGTTCATACTGAAGCACGGAGTAACTTATTGATATGAAATTTTTGTCACCGATCTTATGGCCGGAAATTGAGAAAGTTGCTTAACTTCTAAAAGCGCAGACTGAACCCGCTAACCGCTTACGCCATCGAGCTGCGAGTCAGAGATGTGGAGAAGTACCTTATACAGTTATTGCAGCGCTGAAACACGGAATTGCAGTTCATTGAGTATTTGTAGCGCTAGACTTACAACAGTTACAAATTAATCCTTCTGGTTACAATGTTTTAAATCTCCTGCTATATATTTTATGTATACGAAACCTACATTTTCCCAATCACTGACTTAGAAAGGCGATACTAGGTGTTAACGACATGAATGGTCTCGCAGGCCCTATCTGGATTACCAAACCCCGAGATTGAAATTTGTGAAAGTAATTGGAGAGGATATTCATAAATGGATATGAAGTAATGCTGATGTGGTTTTTTCCAAATTAATTCAACTACTCGCGCTTACCAAATAATAGAGTCAATGACATTTTTTTTTCTTAATAGGGCTTTGATGTAAACATACAAATAATCTTAGTAATTAAGCATCGTAAATTTCTAGAGAATACGAACGTTAATCAACACTTATGTTATTTATGTTTGCTATTATATCATATTTAGTATTCAGTATAAATATAAACGTATGTTTAGATAAATAAGAATGCTGGCATAAATTTTCTAGAATTAGAAGAAGAAGAAGACTGTGTTTGTCCGCTTTTGTTTTTTATATAAATAATATATATAAATAAAGTTAGTTTATATTAGTCTGTGTTGTGGTGCGCTTGGTACAATACAAAGTCCAAGACATTCGAAACAGTGATGACAACTTAGCAACTTTATAGCTAGATCTAGCTATTATTTGGTATCACATAGTTACAATTTAATGAAATTTGTAGCTAAACTAAAAAACTTAGAAAGTAGAGTTCCAAACAGGTACGTGAATTAAAAACTCGTTTTGATGAAAGCAGACTTTTTCGACGGGAAAAATTAGTACGATAATTTTAGTTTACAAGTTTTTCTTTTTAAAATAAAGGTCT